AGGCTATATCTTGTACAAACTTCGCTCAGAATAAAGTAATTCGAATGAAATTTTCAATATATTCATTTTTCATTATCTATTTTTGAACTATTATATTAATAACGGCCAGCTCTTTATCTAAATCTTACATAATGTATCTTTCAATGTTACATAATTCATTTGGCATTTAAATCTGGGTCCATTTTGTTGCCCAATTCAGTTACGATTAGCAACGGGTATCGTGCATTAGTGTATTTTTAAAGTACAAAAAAATAACACTTTTATGGTTTCGTTATGCACCTTTTAAAAAGCTTTACTATAAAATAGCACGACTTTGTGAAAGATTAAGCACCCTACTGTATACGTCACCAGCAATGTAAGGTCTTCAGTGATATCCATTTCAAGTGTAAGGGTCATTAGCTAGTCCAATAATAACGGCTTAAAGCACTGAGCGCAACAAAAGACACATACATATAGTACATCGATCAATCCTTTAGCCGCAACACTACAAAGACATATTTTTATCAATATAGTCGTAATTTGAAGTTAATATCAGCATGAACTTACACTTTACATTTTCGTTGTCCCTGATGCGTGCTTTTCTGCAAGGATTTGTTACAAACTAGAATGAAAATCTATACACAAGGAGGCATAATTTTCATATTCATACTATTTTTTTTATATTAGACATGCTTTGTGCGTTCTCTAATGGCTTGTGTTAGTAGGTGCAGGTTTTTATTTATTGCACAGTTTGGTTTTGATAGGTCAAACTGAAACTATCATTGTTCTAGTCTTTACCTTGCATGGGAGAGAGAGAGAGACAGAGAGAGAGAGAGAGAGTTTAACGTCCACTCGACACAAACTAGGTCATTTCCGGACTAACATATGGTTTAATTTTATTTCAATAATTCGGTTGCGCGTAGGGGTCTTTAGTAGTGGGAGGAAACCGGAGGGCCCGGAGAAAACCGACGAGGTTGAACAGGCGACCCTACTCCTTGTCACGTACAACCGGGGATTGGAAACCACGCCAGTTGACTCAATGACAGGTCTTATGATACAGCGCACACGTGCTAACCATTCTGCCATCCAACCCCCCTGCATAAGACAATGTAAGGCATAATATATGTCTTGTTTAAAACTATGGTAGGATCCACAACAATATACACTTTCTAATTATGAACTCTGTTTTTCTGAATAATAATAAATGATAGTGATCGTTTCTGTAAACCCATGTGCAGGGAAACGTCTCTGTTATTGCGAATCGGGCTAGGTTATCAGTCAGGGTGTTCGAATCCGTGAAGTGATAACGGCACTGACCTTATAGTGCCCGTGGTCTTGAAGTGGAAGTTTAAATTTGGATAATCAGCATTGTACGTTGTTTTTTATATCATGCTCCTCATGTTGGAGAAATCGGACAACATTAACTCAAAATTGTGTGGGTGGGGGGAGGCATAGATGCATTCGATGATTTTTAATGAAATTATGTTGACACCACGATTACGCATTTATCCACTGTATGGCATATTTATGATACATTATAGGTATATATTTTCTATGCAGCGACTACGGTATGAAGCTTCATTTACAGTGTTGAATTGTTGGTCAGTGATGCTTGACATTTCGTTTATAAGAATATTAAATAGAGAATATCTGGTAGTTTAACCCTGTATTATGCCTCCATTCATTTATCAATTTGTGATATAATTACGAATTAACGCAATAATAAACACTCATTATATATGTATTAAAAGGGGCCAGGATAATTGGCGGTTTCTTTCAACTTTACCAGGTGTGTAGATATGATTTGATTCATATCAAATACATCTTGATAAATGTTAAAATTTAACGCAAGGCTTGCTCTACACCTCGGGTAATTATAGTACAACAATATCTCGATGTATTTTTCATATCTTACATATCTTTTATACCCCAAACTTGATATTCGCTACATCAAATTACAAAATGAAATCTTGTCAGATATAGTGTATTTTAGTCAAAATGAATTTTATTGGTAATAAAAATTCATATATTGTGACAGGCGTTAAATAAAATCGTGTTCCTTTATGGTGTCTTCGTTCTGTATAAATTATTAAATTAATCATGACATCATTAATTTCCCTTATGGCATTTGACACATGGCACAATGGTAATAAACAGAAAGTGTTATCTGTAGAACTGTATCCAGGGTATTAAACACACCCTTTCTATTATTAACGGACCTAAAAGATAATCGAACGAATATAAATTGGTGTTAAAGTATCACCGTTTTAGATAATTTACAAAGAAAGGGGGTGGGGTGGCGCGGGGTGGGGTATTACAATGGGTTTGTCCGTCACACCTTTTGGGACACAATAACTGTGCTTCTAATTGCAGTAAAATGTTTAAACTTGGTGTAGATGTTCATTATGTAAATGATTTGATCATTTTCTGCTAAAAGCAGAGATAGGCTTAGGACTTGGGAACACAATTTAATTATTGTGAGAATGGTGTAACCTAGTGTATGGTTTCAGTGGGGATCACGTGGCTAAGTGGGTAAGACGCTGGCTCGCTAGCCAGGAGGTCTGGTGTTCGATCCCTGCCTTGGCCGAGAAAGTTCATCCAGATTTTTCGGCGTGGTTTCCTCTTGTCAGTGATGCAAGACGGAAGGGCCTGGCAAGGACAGCTGTCTAGTCGTTCGGATGGGACGAAAAACCGAGGTCCCGTGTACATATTGGCGTGCACGTAAAAGATCCCTTGGCAGTTGGAATTCGATATAAGAGTAGGCCGTAGCGCCGCTGCCCGGGCAAAATTTCCCTCATAGCACACTGTATGGCGTATGCCCGTCTTCATTAGCCCAGTTTAGGAGTAGAACAGTAGAACGTTAAACCCCATTTCATTTCATTTTATGGTTTCAGTACATCAATTACCGATAACAACTACTAGAATCCAAGGCTGGGAGCATCAGCCTTGACGTCAAAGCTTATTTATGTTAAAGATCGCAATCCGAGGCCATAAGTATGCCTTAAGAAAGTGACTGAATTGAATACATTCGATAAGTCGAAAGAAGAAAATATGTTGGGGGGGGGGGGGTAATCTACATATTGGTCTCGAATGATTTGGTGGGTGGGAGTCGGTCTGTCCCAAACTTTTAATTTTATTTCATTGTCGACACCGGAACACACACTCGATTACATCTTAACATTGGATTTAACTATAGACGTAAAATTTTGAACGTCAAGAGATTGCCATCACACTGAACATATCAATATAAAATCCAACCAAAATGATCACAAATGTTATACTGAGCGCAATTACTGTCTTTTAATCGGAGCAAAGTTTGCACAGTGATTCGAGAATCAAGCAGCAACAAAGACAGTAGTTACTGCTTCGCATAGAATTGTTCTAATTATTTTAATGTGTTCAATGAGTAAATGCCGTTTAAAAGTCATATTAAAATCAAATTAATTCGCTCGTTTATTTATTGATATAGCAGACATCCACTTGCCCCGAGCAGAGCACTCATAAACACTTTGATGGTGCCATTGTGTGACCTTTACCCCGTGGGTTTTTCATATGCTACGCTTGCTCCCCAATCCCATTCAGATATCCTGAATAAAATTTTGTTTATATAAAATAAAGATCCCAACGTTGAAGCCAATTACCATAAAATTGTACTATGTTTCAGTCCCGAAATGACACATTCCTCTTTCCCAATTGTGTGACAATCACGAACATCTATTTTCAAATATATCATAAATCTATGTATTAAAATGGCCATGATTAACGGCACGAACACGTGTTAATAAAAAGATTAAGATGAAAGGTTAAAAATAATTGTAGATAGAGAGAGTTATAGATATAGAAAGTTTATATTTATATACCTGTTTGTAGGTGACTATATACATGTATATATATATTCTGTCTGTCTGTGTGTGCAGGTGTTCGGTAGAAACCCAGGTGTTTAAAGGACTATTCAATCCGAGGTCGACTATTGACAGTTTGTGAACTTTGGTGAAGCGATGAAGTTTTTGGTGTCGGTTTGTGCCCCGTTAAATTACCTTTTTAAGTGCATTAAGGAGTCAATGCGGTTGTTGAAATGAACGATTTAATACTTGAAGAATTTAAATAATATTTGAATGATAAATACTTATTCAAAAGGAATCCCATATAATATTTGACACATACCATGCTGTGGTATTTACCCCAATTCACATTCTTTCAATAACAAACAGAGTTTCTGATTCTCTATTGGCTTTCTGTAGACATTATAAATAATGGTATAGTTTCATGTAATTCCGTTTCACAGAACTATTCAAAAGGTAGCCATCCCTCCAATTAGTGATATTAATATATTCATGAAAAATATAACGATATCTACACGTGTAAAATCGAGGAACTATAAATGTAACCACATCTCCTGTGTATATTATTCAAAACACGTAACGTAACCACATCGCCTATGTGTATTGTTCAAAACACGTAACGTAACCATATCTCCTATGTGTATTATTCAAAATACGTAACGTAACTATATCTCATTCAAAACACGTAACATAACCACATCTCCTATGTGTATTATTCAAAACACGTAACGTAACCACATCTCCTATGTGTAATATTCAATATCGTGTAATATTCAATAATCCTAGCCTGCCCGCAATTTAGAAACGTAACCACATGTCCCATGTATATTTTTAACATGTATGATTTAAGTAACGTAACGGCACCGTCATGCGAAACGTTGTAGAAAATGTATCGAAGTCTTAACGTGTAATATGCCAGAAACTATCATCTATGTGTAATATTTAATCACACTTTTAACTTGTATCATTCAAGAAACTATGTAAAAATTGTAGTAAACATACGTTTGTACGTCTTAACGTGTAATATTCGAGAAACGTAATCCCATCACCTTGTGTAATGTATTAAAGGAACGTATCCACACCACCATGTGCATAATTCTTAAGACGTAACCACATTTCCACGAACATCCAAAATGCAACCCGTCAAAATTAATTATTCTTCTTTCATTTTTTTCCAAGCAAAATCCTTCGGAGATGGCAATGGTGAGTAATTGTATTAAGGACACCGTACAGTTATAATGTTTATAATGATAATTATTGTTATTATTATGAAACAAAACATTTTAAATCACCGGATTTTAATTTATCTGTTATAATTCAAATAATTATTCAAATAATATCTTGCACAATTATATTTTTTATTAAGATTTCTCTCACCTCACTGGTAATTAACCAATTAGGTATTGTGTGTTACATTTTATGTTTACGTTATGTTTTATTTCAATAAACACATCATTAAATAAAAGCTTAGCCTCTCAGACTATTTAAACACAAATGTGAATTGATCATCTATTTTATGAAATAGGGCTTTAAATATCTTATAACATTTTTATTAATTCAAGGTGTTTTTAAAGGTCAAGAATTAATTGTTAATAATTCATTAATTATGCTGTTCTGTTCACGATCAGGATAATTAAGAATCTTGTTCCACTAGATTTTAACTCAAAAACTAAAGGAATAATAGAACAATGACTTCCGTTTATTATGCAGGTTTTGAAGCTGCTGATCACAAATTATCCTGCCTCTTATGATTTAATCAAATTGACGATGATTTTGTGAAATACTTTTTTTTGTATATTTCAGAGTTTGTTCCGATCTTTACGTGCCTCAACATGTAAAGAAGACTGTAGCTCAGTTAAATTCAGACCTGTTTGTGGTACAGATGGCCTCACGTATAATTCTAGATGTGAACTGAAAAAAGCCAAAAAATGTGATGGACGAAAGGTGAAAGTTCGGAAGAAAGGCGCTTGTGATGGAGGTATGTACGTTCTTTAACAAACTTAGCTTATACTTCATCCTTTTGAATTCCACCATGATCCATTGAGACCTGTATTTATATTCTGCTAATATTCATTTGCTCTGTGATTGTCAGTTACAAATTAATTTTGACTGTAACCCCCCCACCCTCACACACACACACACACACCCACACCCACACACACACACACACATGGCATGCAGTGCCCAATTATTCACGTAGAACCCGAATTCCAGTCTTAAGGGAGCCAAGTCTTTAAATGAATATCGTGCACAGTCTTCGACATTGCAAACTTATTAGTCAATTTAAATCAACATTGATGTTGTTGTCTTACCGGGGGATCACGTGGCTAAGTGGGTAAGACGCTGGCTCGCTAGCCTGGAGGTCTGGTGTTCGATCCCTGCATTGGCCGAGAAAGTTCATTCAGATTTTCCGGCGTGGTTTCCCCTTGTCAGTGATGCAGGATGGAGGGCCTGACAAGGACAGCTGTCTAGTCGTTCGGATGGAACGAAAAACCGAGGTCCCGTGTACACATTGGCGTGTACGTAAAGGATCCCTTGGCAGTTGGAATTCGATATAAGATTAGGTTGTAGAGTCGCTGCCCGGGCAAAATTTCCCCTCATAGCACACTGTATGACGTAGGCCCGTCTTCATTAGCCCAGTTTAGGAGCAGAACAGTAGGACGTTAAACCCCATTTCATTTCATTTCATTGGGGGGTTGGATGGCTGAATGGTTAGCGTGCGCGCGCTGTATCATAAAGTCTGTCATTGAGTCGACTGGCGTGGTTTCGAATCCCCGGTTGTACGTGACAAGGAGTAGAGTCGCCTGTCCAACCTCGTGGGTTTTCTCCGGGTCCTACGGTTTCCTCCCACTGCTAAAGACCCCTATGCGCAAGCGAATTATTGAAATAAAAATAAAACCATATGTTAGTCCCGAAATGACCTAGTTTGTGTCGAGTGGACGTTAAACCCCATTTCTCTTTCTTTCTCTTACCGTGAAAAGTTGGGCTTCTGATATCCAATATTTTAGACAAAATGACAATTTTAAAATTGGTCCAGAATGCTTTCGAGTGCCATTTGTATGAAGCTACTCAATGAACGAGGCTAAACATATTCCATTTACGAGAATATACCGGTGTAAACTGGAATAACCAGACGCCAAAGACTGCCATTCAATTCGGAATCTTGGCGTATTTCGCCGAACATAACTGATTAGAAATTACAGTAAAAACAGAAACGATTGAATGTAAATCAGTTTATATACATTGATATTACATTATTATATGCGTTGTGACCATTTGTAGGTGCCAAATGATAGCGATTTAGCTACTATAATTATATATATGTTTGATAATATTTAGATAAACCTAACCCTCTTTGTTGTACTTTTATACCCGAACAGGATTACATTTATTTTTTGCGGAGATCGCGGACGGAAATTTTTATAGAAGTGCAAATGTTTTGATATATACGTATACATATTAAACCCGGCAATACTCATGTGTCGTATTCAATGCATACAAAAACGAAAAATATAATAGAAAATAAAAATGAAGCGCAGAAAAAAAATGGAGCGCACCTGGTATTTATGTCATCAAGTTGATAATTCTTTAAATCTGTTGTTAATCTTTCAAACAATAACACCACACCTCGTATAAATATAATTCTCATAGTCAAAATATCTCTTGTGAAAATAGTTGAAAGACTAAGAAGGTATGAAGGGGCATTCTGTCACTCATGGTATTCAATAGATTGCAGATAGTTTAGCAGGTGTCACATTTAATAACATTTCTTGATTGGCAGCTCTTAGGTGAAGAACGAGCTTTTATGTATGAAAATTGCAACTAAACATGCTTTTACTTAATAATATTTTCCATATGTATATTGAAAAAAAAAATATAATACGCCTGTAGATTGCAATACCATGAAGAACACCTCCACGTTAATTTAAGTTAAATCAAGTTAAATAGATATTATATTTATAAATAAATCAAGTGTTCTTATATCTCAGTATCGGATTTGTGGTATTTAATTTAAATCTTGACTAAAATACCATTTAAATATTGCATTCATCAGCGTCTGAATCACTGATTGACAATCACGTCGACTCCCTCATTATCTTCAATATCTTGTCAACCGTGGACGATGGAGTGTTTTTAAAGTTATTCACTTTATTTGTTGCAAATTATCTGTAAAACTCGGCGTTAGGCTTAAGTACATACACCTGCACACTTCATTTACCGAAATGAATAACTACTTAATTTTGTATCACCCTTGCAATGCTTGTGGGAAACGCGACAACGATAGAAAAAATAATATCTTTTTTACAATCAAATTCATCTCGAAACCGCATCAATTACTTTGAAATAAATTTTAAAAAAAACTTCATCCTTTTAAAAATATATATTTGTTACAATTGTCACTATTTTATGGCAGGTTTCCCCACAGGCTAATTTTTAAACATTGATGAAATTAGTTTTTTTATGTTATTTTTTTCTACAAATAAATACGTTAATTCTGTTTCGGTGGTGAAGTGTAGAAAAAATGTATCATGGGTGTTGCACAAGGTAGAATCTTATGTTATTTTCTATTTGTAATGTGTGGAAATGTATCGATAAAAATATTGTGTTAAAAAACAAATTTACATAAGTAAGTGTAGCGAAAACAAGTTTTTTTAAAACAGCTTTCTGGTGCTTAACATGTGTAAATAATTATGCACTATTGAATTGACAAATCCAATGAACGCAACACCGATAAAAAGAGAGTTTGGGCGAAAAGCTAAATCATTATGCATTGGAGAGAGAGTGGCGTGCACATTCTTCTTGAGACATGTAAATACGACTGCGCTTAGAAGTTTAATTTCATTTAACTTGGAAAAAATATGTAATTGTTTTCAAGGAGTTTGATTAAGCAGAAGACTAAGAATTTTATAATAGTTTAATAATATACTAAGTTGCAAATTATATTTCTATTAGTTTAAATCATGTATGTCTACCTGTGAATTCATATCGTTTTAAAGAAACTTCAACTTGTGAAAATTAGTTTTAATTTGTCACGGGTGTGTTATAATTTGCATAAAGAATGTTGATCGCGTATTGTGATATCGAATCATAATTACCAGTTTGTAATTCCATTCACCTGTGTCAAGGTAGCAACGGATAATTCCTACAACATCTGGCCTCTCATTACATAGTCATCGGTATCGAGGCTTACAGGTGCTCCTTGCATTCGACTTACATCGTTCTTTCTCGCCACTCACCGTTTGTAACAATCAATGCAGCGACCATTCGGCGCTTTGTCGTAACAAGGAATATAAATTCATGACTTTTTAGAAAGTGGATATGATTATGATGTAGAAACTTTGAAACTTGAAGATGTTTAATTTAAGCTGCTTATTTAAAGGATTTCTTGTTTTCTTCTATGGAATTTTAATTTTAATGAGTGAAGTGTGTCGATGTTTAGGTAAGTCATACTCATTTAATATGGAAGTAATTATAAGAGAGGAAGAGGGAGGAGAGGAAGGGAGCTGGAGGGTGGGGGTTGGGGGCTGTATAAATCAATTAAGGAGTCATACCCTAACATTCAATTTTATGACCTATGGTGAACAATGAATATCAACGGTGGCCGGGACGTATGACATCGGGTGTACAGACTCTGGACAACCAAAACTTTCTTTAGAGAACGATAAAGAAATTTATTTTATAGGAACAAAACATTTTTCCTAAACGGACAGAACTAGGAATGTTAGGTGAACTTTACAGAAGGGTAAGCACATCCTGCCTCTTACAGTGTACCACCAGTTTAAAAACATCCCATATAGAAACATTAGAATTAACTAGGGTATTTTTTGCAGGTAACATTGAAAGATGACTATCATCTGTCATATCAGATTTTCTTCTAATCCTTTCAATGACAAATTATAACAGTCTGAAAAGTTGGGACGCGATTTGTTTTGTATGGGGGTAGCTTTAGAATAAACTTAAATTATTCCTGTACGTTGACCAGTTTGACTGGGGCCCAGTCTATAGATGATAAATTGTTGCTTTTTATCTTTTTTTCAAAGAAGTAGTTTTGATTTTGGAGATTGCCGTAACGTGAAACATACGGAATATATATATAATGACATAAACTAAAAAACGAATTGGGATTGTATCTGATTTTAAAGGTTTCGCATAGCCTTTTTGTTGTAATTTAATATGGAAGAGAAGTGTAATTACTCATTTGGTGCAGTCTGCTTACAAATCATTTAGGAGATCGTGATCTCATTTTTTTGTTTCAAGATCTTTTTATTTCCTCTTACAGGACAAATGAATATATCTAGATATGGGATAAAAACGGGAGGGAATTAACAGATATGTACTTTAATCTGTATCTGCAGATGGTTTGCTTGTTATATGTGCATTTTGTGGGGTATCCGGCAATCTGATAAATTCATCCCGTCATTTGACTTTAAACTACGGGTTCGTTATAACGGGGTTGAAGCATCGCATTATGGTAGATTGAGCTCGGCACTGGGAGTGTTACATGTTTTAAGTTTGAATTAAACTTCGTGTTATATTCTATGGTTTTTGAGTTAACATGTTCGTGTGGTATTTATCATACATCCGCTATTCTGTGTAATCGTCTTTTGACGTACAGTTATTACCCAACTGATAGAACACATGTGGTTGATAAAGGGTCAAACCGGGTCACATGAATTTACTCCTGTCAAATTAGATACCGATAACTACTGAAAACTTGTGTCAGGACTAACACTAAACCCGTGTTCGAACTGCGAGTCCTTCAAGAAACGCAAATAAAATTGTCCCATGCCTTATTCCCAAAATGACCTAGCTTGTGTCGAAAGGACTTTAAACTCCGTTTCTGTCTGTCATTAAGTTAATGTTGTCGTCATAACCACTGGCCAGTTTTGATGGCATAACAACAAGCTTTGACGTTCGAGTTAACTTGACTGCTTCGTGAATCATATTATGTCATTGTAATGCCCGCCTTCATTTGCC